TTCTTTTCCTCGTACCTTAGAAAATACATTAAGGAATTAAAGAGTAAGAAGCACAGTGTAGTCTCTACGGATGTGGACAGACATATCCATTATGGATCTACAGTGGGCTGCAGCTCCACCTCCCCTGCTTAGCTGGGTGGGTGGCTGGGAAAGCGGCGAGGGGGAAAGCTCCGGCCAGCATCCCTGCCTCCTTCCTCCGAGAGCTGTGGCAAGGCAGCCTCAGGTGCCCTCCAGGAACAGCCCCTCAGGGGTGTCACTTCTTGGCCCGAAACAAAGCAGTGGCGAGGAAGGAGTCTCTGGTGGCAGCAGAAGAAGCGGCGGCGGCAACTGAAGCATAATCCTGGGCAGTCAGTTCCGGCTCTCCATCCCCTGAGCATGTCCCGTTGCTTCTGGCGCCACTTTTGGTGAATCCGGCTCTTGCCATCGCTGAGAGCATCGCTGACAGCCCCTTTTTGCAATTGCCACCTGAGTGACCTTGAGTTGGCCACGCCCACCCAGTCACATGACCACTGAGCCCCACCTACCCAGCTGGTCATTAGGGCAGAGAACCGGTTGTTAAACCATTTGAATCCCACCACTGGTATATACTTTTTAAGTCATAAATATTGTACAGTAAAAGATAGTAATGGCTTCAGTAGCAATTGAAAAGTCATATAAACAGTGAAGCAGGGGAAAGGTCACCTAAAGAGAAAAATAAAGTATTAGGGATCGCTTTTGATTTGATGGATAGGTTAAGGAAGAGAGAAAAAAATATTCCTCCTATCCAAAATTGTACAGGATGCAGAAGGCATTCAGACTGCTCAAAGGTTCCCAAGTGTAAAGTTTTCATGTAATCCTGCCAATTTTTTTTATATATATATAAATAGGCCATCGAACTGATACACATCGTTCAGGAGGCAGAGAACGAGGCCGATCCAAGGAGAGAAGGCATCTACTCTCTCCAGATATTTCTCGTTGCAACTCAGAGGAAAGGAATCCACAAGCAGATATTGATTCTCCAGAGCGACCTCATTCCAGGTCTCCTAGTGAAGGCAGGTCACAAACTCCCAACAGACAGGTAGGTATACAACTGGCAAAGATCAAGAGAAATATCTGGAAATATTAGTGAAATGTTTGGAGCAACTGCTCTCCTTCCCTAATATACTACAAGGAGCCCTTCAGAAATGCTTGCTTCCATTTTTGACTAACTATAACATTTAATATCAGATAAATGAAGGTTACTTTTAGTTCCAGTTCATTAGAACAGGCTTCGAACTATAATTATGATCAGTCACAATGTGCAATTCTAAAAAAGGTTCTTCTGTTTCGAATAATGTTTTGCATTGTACGTTAAATATACAGTAAATGAAAGCTTCCACGTTGTTTTTCATGGCCATCTTAGAGAGGGATGTGAAATGCACAAAGTAGCTTTTGACAGACTAATTGGTTTTCATTGACTTAACATGAGGTGAGATCCTGTCAAAAATTAAATTGAGGTTATTCATGTGTAAAAGGCTAGAACAAGCTGGAAGCATATTACAGAGGTATGGAGAGCAAACATGGATCCATCCTTTGGCTCACAGTCTCAAAGACTGTCTCTGTAATGTTGTCAGGCCTGCAATTATATTCCTTTTAGAATTTTGGCCTGCCACACTTTCTCTTATTTCATTATGCTATGAAATCCCAATTCTGGAAATGACATCAGAATCCCACCCAGTTAAAAGTTCATGATCTTGTCCCCACACCCACAAAT